AAAAAAAAAAAAAAAAAAAAAAAAGGAAAGGAAATGGAACCTTAGCTTCTTTTCCCCAGTCTGTTCTTTTTGGTTGAAGAGGTCCCTAAAACAAGAAAATTAAATATAAAATACCAAATGAAATACAGTTTGGTTTAAGTCATATTCAAAAGCTCTAAGACCTATAAAATGAAGTCTGTCTCAGCTGGCATCTTACCACTCCAGAGTTCAAAATTCATACTACACATAAATCAAGAAACAAGAAAGCATACAACACAATGGAGTCACCCCACACTACAAACATGAACAAATTATATGAATACCCTAGACTTTATGGTATTCTCTTAAACGTTAAAACTTAGACTTGGTTGAAGAAAGTACCTCTAAAGATCTCATACAACCTATTTAAGAAGTATTGTGACAAACCTCTATTTCTGCAGTGCAGAACAGATAATTCCACTGTACCACTGCCACTGACTCTGATAAAGTATCTAAGAACAACAATAAAAATATCTTCTTTTAATGACCAACTAACTCTATACAAAAATCTGACGGCGTATTTCTGTTCCGCGGACATTTCCTTGATCACATAAAAAGGCAACTCCCTAATCGTCAAGGCTGACTTATCGCCCTCCAACACCCCCGGTGCGGATTACCCTCACCACTCCATTGTCAAATCGCACTCCCACGCTTCAGCCCTCAGCCCCCATCCTAAGACACCAGGGAAAGTCGAAAAAGGGAAGCAACTCCCCTCACCCACACTCCCTTACTGTGGGGTGTGGGTGTGTCTGCAGACAAATGCTTTGCTCAAACACAATCACATCTTCCGCGGACAGCCCCCTAAGTCACTGCGGAGCCAGGAACACCCGGCCGGGCGCCGACCCCAGCCTTCCGCGGCCGCAGCCCTTCCTCTTTCTCCCCTCCAGGCCGGCCCCTCCCCCGCTGCGCGCACGCGCGGCCTCCCATCGGGCCCCTCCCCCCGGGCCCCTCCCCTTTATCATTAGCCACCCTCTTCCCAGGGTCTGGGAGAGCCCTGGCCCGGGAAGGGAGACGGGAGGTGGGAGGGGAGAAGAGGATGTGTCGAGAGGCAGTGATCGGCGTCTCAGTCTCGGCCTTAACAGGCCCCCGTAGTCGGGAGCTGCGTCTGTCACCACCGCCAAAACTGTGCCAGCGGCAGCGCCCAGGTCGGCCCAGCTCACTGGGCTTGGGTTCAGAATGCCTAGTTTGATACCAAAGGAACTCCTTCCCCGAAGCTGCGGGCGTTTCTATGCTGCGCAGACCCAACACCTCGCCACCATCGCCGCCGCTCCCGCTGCTTTCCTGCCGCCGCCACCGCTGCCGCCGCCTAACCAATCTCTCCTTTCCCGAGGGAGCACGACACTCCGGGGCTTTACGACAGTTCGGAAAGCGAGAGCGCAGTAGCCTTCACGCCTCCGGTAACATCTGTTTGATTCTGCGCTTGCTCAGATTTTTGTTTCTCACTGGCCCGCCCCCTCTTGCCCTCCTTTGTATTCACTTTATCAGTCTATTAGCGAAGCTGAACGGTGTCCTAAAGCTCATTATTTTATTTTCCTTGGTAATTATGAACTCAGTATGTAAGCAAAACACTGACTACATCTTAGCTTATTTTTGCATAACTAAACATTACAACTAACCGCAGAATTATTGACCATACTGAAGCCACAATTAAGCAAAAACATCACGGTTTAGTGTATTTCCAAGCAAATGATAGCCCAATCATACTCGCTAATGACATAATCACGATACCTCACTGTTAAGGTGAATTTGCTTCCAGAATCAGATCAAAAATGGTAATAGATATCCTGGGAACTGATTGTACAATCACATACACTTTGTTTTATAAATCAGTAGATAGGAAATGCTTCATTATGCGCATTAGAGGGATGTAGGGGAAAAGAATGTAGGATTTGGATTCAGACAGACTTCTTTTCAAACCCCACTGATACCAATTAACAGCTGTCTTATTTATTATATCTTTATAAGTAAGTTTCCAAAAAGAAAATGTCAATTATACATCAGTGGAAGAAGAAAACAAAATAAAAGCATATCTTAAAAAAAAAAAAACACTGTTTCCTTCTCTATAAATTGAGATAACATTATTATTAACTCCAAGGGGTATTATGAGATTAAATAAGACAGTTTATATAATGTTTTGAACATTATTTACCAATTGTTTGATAAACATTAATTCCCTCCCTTTGTCAACAATTTATCTTTCTCAATATGCATTCTTTTGTTCACTGATTTCTCCATATTATTCAGTGAAGATAATATTAAAAAAGAAGAAAAAGAAAAGGAAGCAGATTGTGAGGGGAAATGGGTAAGCACTGGACTAGGATTTTTCCTTAATACTATATTTTCTTGCTCTCAATGTAACATTCTGCCTGTACTACCATATCTACTGCCATGTTTTTAAGTATTATTGACTCATAACTTTTCAAAGTCATGTGTTTCCAGACCTAACCTTTTTCCTAAAGCTCTTGATTTGTGTTCTTCAATAGGGTCTATACTAGCCACACATAGGTATGGAGCTCTCGAAATGTGGATAGTACAAATTCAGAAGTGTTGTAAGTGAAAAATATATATCTAATTTCAAAGATACGATATAAAAATTATTAAAATCTCAATAATTTTTAATATTGATTACTTATTGAAATAGTATTTTGGATGTATTGGGTTAAATCACTGGTTTTCAAGCAATGATGATTTTGTGTACATGCCCCCCCACCTTAGGGACATTTATCAATATCTGAAGACATTTTTGATTGTCACAACTTGGGGAGAGGGGAGTGGCTACTGGCATGTACTAACAAGGGCCCAGAGATGCTGGTAAACATTGTGCAAACAGAACAGCCCTCCACAGCAAGAACTTTCCTGGCCCAAAATGTTAATAGTACAGCTCAGAAACCCTGGAGTTAAGTGAAATATAATATTAAATTTAATTTCACCCATTTCTTCTACTTTTTAAAATATGGCTACTACAAAATTTTAAATTACATTTGTAGCTCACATTATATTTCTATTGGACAGGGCTGACTGAAAGAGCCCCATAGAGCTGTTTACTGAATATGTAATTTCCAGATTAATGTCCCACAGGCATCTCTAACACATTATGTCCAAAGTAAATAAATAAATAAATGTAGGTATATTGTTTTTATGACCCATCCATATCAGCCTTTCCTGTTTCAGTCAATAGGACCAAGTTATCTAACTAGAAGCCCAAAGGTTATCTTTGACTACCTTCCCTTCCACACTCTATACCTCTAATGGATCAATAAGTCCTTCCAGTTCTGCCTCTGAAATATCTCAAATATGGAAAATCAAACTGTTCTTCTCCAGTCTCTGCACCAGTCCAGGTCTTTGATATCTTTAATATTCATTTGTGTAACAAACATTAATCAAGTACTCACATGTACTAGACATTGTGCTGGGCACTGTGACTACTAAATACGTAAGCACTACCTTTCTTGCAGTGTTTCACAAAACCCACAAAGCAAATCCATTATTTACACTATAACGAGGAAGGGATAGGATGCTCTAGAGAACACAAAGCATCACAATAGTGCTCTGAGAACACAAAGATGGAAGAAGAGGTGATAATTTGCAACATGAAGACAGTTAAATAAAGCAAATAGGGTATTCCAGGTTGAAATTTCAGTGCATGCTAAGGTACAGATCCTGTGCCTGAAACGTCATGAAGGAAATTCTCTACTAGGATCTACTGAATGTGTCATATGGGGAAAATCTCAAGAGATGAGGGAAGAAAAATAGACAGAAATGAGTTAAATAAGAAAACAACAGTAAACTGTTTTCTTGGCACTGAGAAGTGACTGGTGGTTACCATGGGGAAGGGGTTGGGATGGGTAGGTAAGGGCAGGGAGTGTGATGAAGGAACACAAAAATCTCAATCATAATATAAGGTGGTCATGGGGACTGAAGTGCAGCATGAAGAATATAGCCAATGGCTCCATAATATCTTTCTGTGTTGACAAATAATAATTGCACTAGTTGGGGTGAGGATTTAATAATGGGTGTAACTGTTGAGTCACTGAGTTGTATGCCTGAAACGAATATAATATTGTGTATCAACTATACTTCAATAAAAAAATAGTTAAATAAGGTTATTTTTGCTAGGATAAGGAGTTTGGAACATTTTATGCTTAAAACTATGGGAAGCTATTAGAGGAAATCAATCCAAGGTCAGATTTGACTAATAGAGACACCATTAGAGACACCAATAGAGAGGAGGGAAGACTAGATGGAAAGGCAAGTAAAAAGTGATGCGGGCAGTGGAAAATAGAATGAGAAGAAAGGGCAGAATACAAGAGATAAGAAAATTGAATAGCTAAATGGATGTAGGGGGTGAAGGAGAATCTCATAGATACCCAGATTTATGGTGAGTACTTGGGTTGTGGTTCCCATTCAAGAAAGAGACAGAGACTTGCAAAAACCAGCTTTTGGGGATTGGGACTTTGGGCTGGGGAAGGAAGGAGGGAAGAGGTTGAGAGAACAGAAATGATTACTTCTTTATTGGGAAAGTTGAGTTTGTGGTGTCTAACATTTATCAAAGTCTAAATTCCAAGAAGCTGTTGAATATATGAGTCTGGAGTTCGGAAGAAAGATTTGGGTTGAAGATAGAGATTTGGCTTCATTAATTTACATGTGAGACCTGAAGCAATAATTTTTATGAGGTCACCCAGACTACAAGTGAGAGGAGACAGATACCCAGGGAAGTCTGATATTTTAAGAGTTGAAGGATGAAGAGAAGTCCCAGAAGGACAAGGATGAGACAGAGCAAAGGCAGAAAAACCAAGAGAATAGGTAACAAGCCAAGTGAGAAAAAGGGTTGCCATACTGAAGTGAGTGGTCAAGGATATGACATTTCTATTAGTTTGGATGATAAGAAGATCTGTAAACAAGTTTACTTTCAGCAACTGTCCTACATTTTAGAACAGAGGTTCTCAACTGGGGGTTACTTTTGAACCCCAGGGCTTTTTTGACCATGTCCGGAGATATTTTTGGTTATCACAACTGGGAAGATGGCTACTGATATCTAGTAGGTAAGGACAAGGGATGCTGTCAAACATTCCATAATGTACAGGGCACCCCCTACAACAAAGAATTATCTTGCCCCAAATGCTAATAATATTCCAGTTGACAAGTTCTGGTTTAGAAAAGACTGAACACTGCAGCTAGACAAGGACCAGTACTTTTTTTTAAATTAAACTATCATTGATATACAATTTTATAAAGGTTACACATAAACAACATTGTGGTTTCAACAGTCACCCATATTATCAGGTCTTCACCCCCTCACTGCAGTCACTGTCTATCAGTGTAGTAAGATGCTCAGGATGAGTACTTTATCAGGAAATTGGTAATAAGTGGAAAAATAAATATATCTAGCACATATCTAGCAGAATATGGAGTCAAGAAACGGTAGACTTGAATCCTGTTGGTATGCTGATGGGAAAAGGGCCATCAGAAAATGAGATAAGGGTAATGGAAATAAAGAGATGCCCAATGGAGGCAGAGGAAATGGGATTTAAAGTTTCTATGAAAGCATCGCCTTGGATAGGAGAAGGGATATTCTTTTCATCCTTTTCACTGAAACAGGTGAGAAGGAGGAGGAGGAGGAAGAAGTGATTGTACAAACAAATTAAGTTTGCTAGCTTGGGGTTAGGAGGCAAGGACTTGCTCACTGAATGACCTTCATTCCTCTGTGAAACCTGAGTTAAGGCCATCTACTAAGATAGCAGGTTTGAAAATAGCTAAGTGGAGAGTAATCATAAGAGAGAGATTGTAGAGAAAATCAAAGTTCCTATGGCCAAGATTCTCACCTGACCCTCGTTGGCTGGGCAGTACGTTATTATTGACTCTATACCAAGAGCTCCACCCAGTGCTCTGGGCTGCGTGGCTGCAGGAGAGTAGAGGCTGGAGTGGGGGCAGAGCCTAGGATAGAGACTGAGATGACTGTGGGGGCAGTGAGGCCGAGAGGCAGAGGCTGGCTTGCTGCATGCAGATTTGCTCTGAGGTGGATGGGATTCTAGCACTTGGCCTGCCATCTCAGGGAGAATAAAGTTGAGTATAAACCCTTCCACCCCAAGAACATTCCACTGTCATTTTACACTCTCATCGAGTCAAGAGTGAACTTATCTGGGGCTGAAACCCTCAGGTAAGACAGAGATGAAAAGTCAGATAGCCACTAACATGATAGCAGGGTGGACAGTAGATGGTCAACAAATCACGGGTAGGAAGCCCAGAGCAGAAAAGACATGAGACTGAGAGGACAGGTACCTTGAGGTTGTATTTTGGGGAATAATGGTAGATTACAGGGGTGGGAGATCTCTCTCACCTG